CCAGAGAAAAAGTCTTAGAGACAAGAATAAATGATGAAGAAGATGATATATAGTGGAAAAATTAGATACAAACATTGAATAAAACAAACAATAATAATAATGTCAATATAGAAAACTATACATAAAAAAATTGTTATTTGGGGAATGATAGGGTTCTAAGGTCATTGTATTGTTTGGGAAGAAGAGAAAGATAATGATTAACTGTAGACATTGATAACTTATGTATGAATATGCTAAGAAGTCTGGTGTAATTGTTTAAATAAAGAAGTAAAATCCATATACTTGAAATAATAAGAGGAGAAAATAGAAAGGGAAAAAGATGACCATTCCAAAAGAAGAAAATTAGAAAAAAGAAGCCTAGAAATGGCAAGAAAAATAAACACAAAACCAGGATAATAAAAGCAATACAAACATATCATTAATCACACTAAATATAATTGGACAAAATGCTTGACTTAAAAGACAAAGATTCTCAGGTTGAATTAAAAAAAGTAAGTCCAGTTATATACTTATGTCATTTATTTGAAGTTAGCTTTTTATTGATAACATACAGATGGGTCATGTTTCTTAATCCACTTTGTCAATTTCTATCTTTTAACTGATATATTTACATTTAATGTGATTCTTGATATATTAAAGATTGAAATTCTAACATTTTATTTTGTATTTTGTTTCTCACTTTTTTTCATTTCTCTGTTTCCTTTTCCTGACTTCCTGTGGGTTACTTGAACATTTTTCAGAATTCAATTTTGATTTATCTGTAGTGTCATTTAGTATATCCTTATGTAGAGCTTTTTTAGTGGATTCTCTTGGGGTGACATAATTTACCTCAGTCTATTGGTGTCATCATTTTACCAGTTCAGGTAAAATATAAAAACCTGATCTCATCTTTTTCCCTTTACCCTACCCCTTTAGTAATATTGTTATTTTAAATATTTCTTCTACATATACTTGGAACCACAACCATGTTATAAATTTTGCTTCAATCATTAAATATACTTTAGAAAGTTCAAGAGGAGAAGGGAAGCCTTCTGTATTTACTGGATCTCTGCTTGTTGTGTTCTTTCTTCTTTCCTGGTGTTTCAAGATTCCTTCTTTGATCATTTTCTTTCTGTTTAAAGAGCTTCTTTAGCCAATTTTTTAGGGTAAGTTTGCAGATGACAAATTTTCTTGATTATTCTTTATCTGAGAATATCTTGATTTCCACAAATTCCTGAAGGATATTGTTGCTGGGTACGAGATTTTTCAGTTAGCAATTCTTTTTCTTTCAGTATTTGAAAAGTATTGTGCTACTTTGTTCTGGCTTCCATAGTTTCTCATGTTAAGTGAGTTGTTAAAATTATTTTGCCCTATAATTTAAGTGCTGCTGTCAAGATAATTTACCTGTCTTTACTTTTCAGAAGTTTAATTATGATGCATCTTGTCATGTTATTTCTTTGGATTTATTCTGGTTGAGGTTCACTTAACCTGTTCAATCTCTAGGTTTATTTCTCTTGCTAGATTTGGGAAGTTTTCAGCCATTACTTCACCAAATGTTTTTTCAGTCTCACCCTCTTTGTTCTCTCCATCTGGGAGTCCAGTAACAGAAATGTTGAATATTTTGTTATAGTTTCACAGGCCCTTGAGTCTCTGGTCATTTTTTTTTTTCAATTTGTTTTCTCTATGGTTTTCAAACGAGTAATTTTAATTGTTCTACCTTCCATTCTATTGCTTCTTTCCTCTGTCCCCTCCTTTCTGTTGTTGAGCCCATCCACTGAGCTTTTTGGTTTTAGTTATTATATTTTGAGTCCTGAAATTTCCATTTTGTTCTTCTTTATATCTCCTATTTTTTTTGCTGGGAATTTCTATTTTTTGCTAAGGCTTTCTAATTTTTCATTTGTTTCAAGTATGCTTATAATTATTTTTTTTAAGATTTTATTTATTTATTTAACAGAGAGAGACACAGTGAGAGAGGGAACACAAGCAGGGGGAGTGAGAGAGGGAGAAAGAAGCAGGCTCTCTGCTGAGCAGGGAGCCCAATGCGGGGCTCAATCCCAGGGCCCCAGGATCATGACCCGAGCCGAAGGCAGACGCTTAATGACTGAGCCACCCAGGCGCCCCTGCTTATAATTACTTATTGAATCATTTTTATCATGGCTGCTTTAAAATCTTTGTCAGATAATTTTAACATCTCTCTGTTCTTCATGTTGGCATCTATTATCTTTTTCATGGTTCTTCCTGGTTCTTGGTATGACAAGTGACTTTAAAACCTGGACAACTTTCTCTCTTACTGAGCTAGCAATGCCCTTTTCCTGGTCCTTAGACTAGAGAGAACAAGTTTTGAAGGACTTCTTTGTCTGCACCCACTGGCATTTCTGAGTTACCAGCTTTATAATTCCAAGTCTGGAGCATAGGAGCAAAAAGAAAACCCAGGGAAATCACCATCTATCTCATTATTCCTCAGGTTGCTCTTCCCTCCACCTTTCAGAGTCTTATGTTTATTTAACATGTAATGTCTCAGGTTTGTAGATGTACTTAGCAGAATAATACAGAAAAGTATGCCTCCTCCATCTTTCTGCAGGAGAAAATCTTACCTGTTTTGTTGAATTACTTCCTAGAAATTATTGAATTTATTCTTACAATCTTGCTACCACAGATCAGAAAACAAATTCATGAAGCAGGCACGAATGAGAAGATGTCTGTAAACTTTATAAACTGTATATATACATTTTTGATAAAAATTTAAGCCATATAGGAATTAATGTAAACCTTCAGGGCAAGGCCATACTATGGTGTAAAGAATCTGGACTCTGGAGCCTGACTGAGCTAGGTTCTCATGTTGATTCTCGAGTATATTAGTTGCCCTTTAAATCTGTGTAAAATGAAAGCAAAAATACCCTCTTTGTAGGGTATTTTTTGTATATGATAAAAAATGTAATACCTACCACACAGTAGGTGATTAGCAAATATTAGCTCCCTCTTCTTCCCCTAACTTTATCAGAAAGGGAAATAGATTTGTAAAAACAATAGTCCTTCATTTGTTTTAATATATAAACTCTTTGAGGGGCACCTGGGTGGCTCAGTCGTTAAGTGTCTGTCTTCGGCTCGGGTCATGATCCCAAGGTCCTGGGATGGAGCCCCACATTGGGCTCCCCGCTCAGCAGGAGGCCAGCTTCTCCCTCTACCATTCCTCCTGTTTGTGTTCCCTCTCTCGTTGTGTCTCTCTCTGTTAAATAAATAAATAAAATCTTTAAAAAATATATAAAGCTCTTTGAGACATAGGTCAAAGTATCACAAATATGTTCTGTAATATTAGCATGTTAAGGCTCAGTATAGAACAGTAATTATAGTAATTGTACATAAATTGTGGGGAAAAGTATTATCCCTACACAGAACTTTACAATTATGGATCCTCAGTAGAAGCAAGGGAATGAGTGGGACTGTGATAAAAGCTCAAGATGTTGAAAGTGTATCTCTGTATGATCGGCATACCTGCACCAGAACTCATAAAATTAACACTTACTCAACCCCTGTCACTAAGAGGGGGCCCAGAAGACAGATCATAGGATAAGTTCTGTTTTATTTAGTCTGTTTGTACACTTACAATCTAAAACACTGGGCCCTAAGAGGCTGATCAATCTTCACTGATCCTTTGAGAAACATCTTAATGTCCAAAAAGTATGAGCATGGTTAAAAAGTGGTTAAATCAGCTTGTCCCCTGAAACTTTGAAGATGAAAGACACCCATATCAAGTTAATGAAGACCACCTCACCAAATTAGCTCATAGCTATTGGGCAGTGATAGCTCTGAAGAAGAAAATGCAATGCAAGTTTACATCAGAAACACCTCAAACATTGTCTGAGGTTTTCACTAGTTCTACCACCAAGAATATGTTCCACTGTCAGCCATTTGCAGCACCTACAAGCACCCCTCCCAGAATATGGACAGCAACAGAATATTCAAGCAGCTGCTACATAGTGCATTCATACAGCAAGAGAAAGGCAAAAAGAACCATAGTAAGAAAAAGAAACAGGGGCACCTGGGTGGCTCAGTCGTTTAGGGTCTGCCTTCAGCTCAGGTCATGATCCCAGAGTCCTGGGTTCAAGCCCCGTATCGGCCTCCCTGCTCGGCGGGAAGCCTGCTTCTCCCTCTCCCACTCCCCCTGCTTGTGTTCCCTTTCTCGCTGTGTCTCTCTGTATCAAATAAATAAATAAAATCCTAAAAAAAAAAAGAAAAAGAAACAGTTCATGGTGTTAACCTACTTTAACACCATCAACTGTTTCTTGCTTAAATGTTAACTGTATACTCTACTTTTCAAATGAGAAGAGCTTCTCTATAGCATGGATGCTTTGACATGTTCAAGTTTTGTTTTTGGTTTTTTTTTTTCTGTATCATTTTCTAAAGAAGAAACATTTAATTTCATTCCTAAATGAAAAATCTACTTCTTGCTGAAATGATACTTTAAAGGAATTCTTGAAAGAAGGCATTCTTGCAGGTGGTCTTTACTACAAATAAAAATGTGAAAAGGCCCTTGAAGAAACTTTTGGCCCATAACCCTCTCTTCCGTCTTCTCATGCTGGGTTGCCATTTAAGTAAAACCTCCATGGGAGTCTTAAATGCCATGGCAGGCATGTTCTCACCAGCTGTTTGTGGGATTGTATAGGTCACCCAGCCTAGGGGGTTCAACTTTAGTGTTCTTGGATCCATAATGGCTCCACTGGAGGACTGAAATTCAATCTTCAATCACTGTTCTGTAACAAATTGACACTTTGGGCTTTTGCTAAAATAGTTGCCTTATTCCTGGCTTGAGCTATTCATGGACTGGAACTGCCTTTTTTAAGGTCGGCTTCTGCTTGGCAAAATTGGAGGAGTTAGGCTGTGGGATAATTTCTGGCAGGGGAAGGATACTTAGAAGCTGAATCAAATGATGAAATCACACTGTTTAGAGGTCAAGGGACATCCTTGAACAAATACTAACAGATTATTCCCTTATGCCTAATTTTTGCGGAATTCTTACTCAGAGTATTATTCAACGAGAGTATCCTCCCCCTAGTTTCTTCATGGCATGGGTTTGTCCTGCATCTGTATCAGTGTCCGCAGCACTAGAAAACAAGTATGAAAACCACTCTCTGGATAAGAACCTATCGGTAAAGGGGTGCCTGGGTGGCCGGTTAAGTGTCTGCCTTCGGCTCAGGTCATGATCTGACCAGTTCCACATCCACCTCCTTGCTCAGTGGTGAGTCTGCTTCTCCCTCTCCCTCTGTGATCTCTCTTGCCCTCACTCTCCCTCAAATAGGTAAATAAAAATCTTCTTTTTAAAAAAAAGAACCTATTGGTAAATGTAAGAATCCTTTTAAAATGTTTGCTGCCAAAGCATTTTAAAAGTTTACTTAATTATAAGAAGCTCGTTTCTTATAATTAAACCCCGGAGCTTGAAATTTTGTATATTTAGCTAAGCTAACTGGGTTGATATAAGAAGACTAGCGTTTAAAATAATCCCTCACAGTAGGTAACCGAGAAGTTATTTTTAGTAGGCTTTAGGTTTCCTTAGAGCATGTTTTTTACCCAGTTCTTACTATTATTTCAGTTATTCAAATTATATTTGGCTTAACCTAAGTTGACTTTTTATGCACATATTGACAGAAAGGAGGAGGTTTCCGTACCTGTATTGAGTTCAGTGGCAAAGTTCACAGTTCCTTGCTTTGAGTTATTATCAAGGTCACAGTCTACCGGTGGACCATCCACACTAGGTTGTAATCCATCTTTGAAGAAAAAAAAAAGGATAGGGAAAGCCCACAGTTGGAATATGTAATTTGATGCTGCGTAAGATTTGTAAGGAGTTCAAACACATCAGCTTCAAAACTGTAATCTTTCACCTCACTTTTAATGACTGTAACAGTATTCACCCCCCAAGTTTTCTTTGGTCAGAGCAAAGATGTAAGCCAAGTTGACCTGGGCTCTCCTTCACCTCTCACATATAAGTGGCCATTAAATTTCATTCTTGAATATTTCTACACTGTCTCTGTTCTGATTTCCCTTGTCTTACTTCTTAGTTCAGGGCTCCATCGTCTCTCATGTGAAAATTGCAATACCTTCCACCGTGTGCCCTACCTTCAATCCAAGTCTTACTTTACCCCCATTACCGCTCTATTCCCAGTACAAAACAGGATAAAAACACTTCCAAACCTCTGATGGAGGGGTTTTCTAAAGCATAATGCTGTTTATGAAACTCTTTTAGAGTTTCATAGACTCATAGTTTATGAAACTCTTTTAGAGCATAAATAGAGATAAAACCTTTAATGGCTTCTTAACAAGGTAAATCACAAACTCTTTAGCCAGGCACTTTGCTCTTCATCTTCCCCTGATGAAGTATCTTCCACAGCATGTGTGCTATACCAGTGCTTAGCAAACAACAATTCTTGACCAACTGGTAGGTTGGAAATCAATTTAGTTGGTCCAGACTTGCACTGCTAACGAGATAAAATAAAATAGACCAGACTATGACACGCATGAGATTAAACGTGCTTCTTGATGTTTTGTTTCAGTATGTATGCTGTCCATGTAAAATAGTGTGGATTAAGGTAGAAAGCACATGCACACGCACAGAATGAGAGGGGGAGAGAGAGAGAGTGGGAGAGAGAGAGACATGATGGGAGAAAGCACAAATCTTTTTCTTAGGTAATCCATGTTCATTGAGTAAAATTTTTAGAAAAACTTGAATAGCAGTAACATTTAAATGACTAAGATTCCAGTATTCGGTTACAATTTAGACAAGTGGATTTAATGTTGTATGTTTCTACACACAGATTTACATGGATAGCTACACAAACATTTCATAAACTTAGTAAGGTCTCAAAATATGTTGATTGAATGACTAGATACGTTTCTTGTTATCAAGTAGAATGTTATTATATGTACACATGATTTTGTCCTACGTAATATATTATGATCAGTTTTTTTTAAATCAATACATATCGATCTACATTATTTTATATGGATATGTAGTGGTTCATCTTACCAACATATACTTTTAATATGTCATAATATTGGACACTTAGTTTTCTATCCCCCTTCATTATGAACATCACTTTTGTGAACATCCTTATATGAGCAAACATGTATATATATAGATAGATAGATAGATGGAGATACATAGATATAGTGTATATATGCACACGTATACACACATATACATATATGTCACACAGACATATGTTTGTGTATGATATGTGTGCATATATATGGGCATCAGGCACAGATTTAAGTGTCTTATATATATCAACTCATTCAGTCTACAAAACAACATGATGAAATAGATTCTATCATTTTACAGATGAGGAGCCATGACACAGAGAATTTAAGTATATTGCCCAGGATCACATGTTAATAAGAGACAGTCAGGATTTGAAACCAGCCAGGCTGTTTCAAGGGTCTATGTATCTAACACTATGCAATGTTGCCTCGACTTGTCCAATTAAGATAAATTCCTGAAAGTGGACTTAAATTTAGTGGAACTAAAATTGGCATTTTATTGCACTCTGAAATGTTCTGCTGTGCCTTTTGCTTTAATTGTTCTCTAATTAATTTAACAAATTGTTTAATTATTTAATTGATTGTTTAAGTAATTGCTCTTTAATTGTATTTCATTGTTAATCTAATTGCCCCCACTCTTCTTTGCATGAAAAATTTTGACCATTCTTTGGGAACCATGCTCAATAGGCACCTTTTTTGTAAAGGTGTCTTAAACATGCCGGTCATGCCAGGCAGAGGTTAAATCACTTTTCTCTGTGTTCCTCTAGCTCTTTGAACACTGCTGTACCACAGTATATATATTTTATTATAATTATTTGGTCTATGTCTTTCTTCCCCACTAAAGTATGAACTAACTTCTCCAGTCCAAGAATTCTGCCATTCATCCTTATACCCTCAGAGTCTACATCCTAGCAACTGTGAAGTGGTACATGCTGAACAAATGAATTTACACAAAAGAAAAGATAATTGGTTTTAGGTTCAAAAAACTAAATCTAAAAAGAAATCACCGATGACATTCTAGTGACTGGATTAAAAGTATTTTTGAAACTATTTTATGCTTGTCTCTCCAGTCTTTCTGCATTACATTCATTAATCATTTCATATATGATCTGGTATCTTGTGGTTTTTGTAATGCCTGCCGTTCAAAGCATACTTTGGACTCTAGAAAGACCAACTACTACAAATTCTCTTTCAATTAATTCTTCTTGAAGAAGTCAGAGTATCTTGAATTTGGTTAATAGAGCGACTTGAAAATAAAAACTGCTACTTAAGTGCTGAGTATTGCTATTGATCATTAAGTATCACATAGCCCAAGTAATTTTCCTCATTATTGACATGAAAGTGATTATTTTCTAGGCAAAAAATAAGGGCTTATTCATAATATTTTCATTTCAAATACATTTCAAATAGGATATTACTGAGATGTATGTATCCTAGTACATGTACTGGAAATATCAAATAGGATATTACTGAGATGTATGTATCCTAGTATATGTACTGGAAATATTTGTCCTTTCCTTTCCATTATTCCTTGTTGGTAGAGCTTTAGAGCTACTTCTGTGGACTTACATCAGAATCCTAATACCTACATCATAAGTTTTGAATTTTAATACTACTTCAATGAGATTTTCTGGAAAGAAACCTTCCTATAGGTGCGAGAAGATTTGTGAGAACTCCTAGTAACGTTTCGACGAACAACTTAGTCATACCTGGCATTAAGGAAAAATACTCCCCCTAGCATTCACGGTTCCGCCACATCTAGCTACATAAACACTAATAGCCATTCAGCCACTGGAGAAGGTACTAAAAATCAAGCAACAGAAAAAGGAGGTGATATATTAAACTTGATTTGGCTTTCTTCATTTCACTAAATGATTGGTTTCTAGATTCAATGGAATAACCTTTGCCATCTACCCCTACCAAAGATAATGTAAAACCAGGCAGAAATTGTGAAGCCCTTAACATTATTCCTGTCTTTATTGGATGAACCAAATCACGAACAGGCCATATCTAGAATTCTTGGACACACTAGAAGAGAAACACATACCTCCTAAGGCTTGGTTACCTATCTACAAACACACAGAAACTTCTCTGGAATAGCGCCTACTTTAGCATAGTGGTAAATCTCCAGGTTGTTAGAACTCTTTGTGACATGGCTCTATGAAACAGAATCATTATATAAATGCTATTGATCCTTTTTTTAGAGCCATGAAGAAATATTCACAAAGTATAGCTTGAAATATAAGACCATAATTTGGCCTAAGACAGGTCTGTGAGCATACAAGTTGGGTATTATCACCTCCAAGCATGAAAAATCCTCTGGGAGTTGAGTAGCCATGAGATTTTAGAGCAGGGGAAGCAAGGATGATGGTGGTGGAGAGGAGGGCTACATGGACTTCCTAGACACAAAGAAACCTACTCTAGTAACTCAAAACTTAACTGAAAGGGCCTGAGGTATATCAATTTAGCTAACAGGAATGTTAGAGCTTTTAAATTCCCACTTAAGGAAAGATTTGATCCTTCATGGTTATAAAATACTGACTGCAGGAATCCCTAGGCTAGAGGTTATACAGATGAGAATATCAGTCATACAATATGCTTCAATTTCTCAGTCTTTTATAGAACTATGCTTTGATTAAATGCTTTCTTATGATTCTGCCAACATGAAAAACCTTGTTTTGATCTTTTTTATTGTGTCTGCCTCCGGTGAGTAGGGGAAAAGTCCAAGGGGAATGAGAGCAAAAGCCAGCTCACTTTTCTTACTGGGAAGTTGAATCTCCAAGGTACTCACTCCTTAAGAATGAATATTCTAACCCAGCTTTTGTTTGAGCAGAAGCTTATTGTGTAGACCCAGCCTAGGGAAATGTTTGGTCACCTGGAGTTTTTGTAGCTCTTTAAGTATAAATTAATTTTCACAATTAGTAATAATTACAAGCAGTTAAGCAAAATACCATGTGAATCATTAAACATAATATATGGATCAATAAAAAAGTTACTGTGTTTTAAAGGTGCTCCTATTTGTGTGGACATAAAATAAGGAAGCAAATATTTCTTAAATTATTGGTATGTGTGGTTAAAGTGGGTTGCAGTTAATGATTCATAGATTTATAGGGAATATTCCCACCTTGGAGACTGGTAAAAGGAAGTGCCTGACCCTGCAGAAAGAAGTTTAAAGCACACTCCATTCCCATTGCCATACATACAGAACATTAAACATAAACCATTTCCCAACTCTTGTTAAATATGCTTTATATGATCAAATCGCACTTACATTTTGTTCCATAAGCATAATGAAGACCTTCAGACTTTCTACAATTTTATTCTGAAAGCTATAATCCAGTAAGCAACATTTACATTATAGTGAGTATGGACTATTTTTCACGCAGCCCCAAGTATGAGCTAGGGTTACATTTCTCTCCAATAGTTCCAATGGTTCCCATCCCTCTGCCACTCAAGGAAAATGTTTGAATGGCTTCTTCATATTTACATTCAAAATAACTCCCCATTCTAATTTGCTTGGTATCTTTGAACCATGCTTTCCTTGCATCACTGATTTGGTGCTCTTTCCTCCCTCCCTCCCTTTCTTCCTCCCTTCCCTCCTTCCTTCCTTCTTTCTATCTCTCATCTTTCCTTCCATTATTATTAAGATTCTGATTGAATTTATTTTTTATCTTATTAGGAAAAGAAACATATCCTTTTTCCTCATATTCTTACAGCTTCCAGAGTCTTACCTACTTTACGGTTCACTTAGAAATTATTTCATTGTTCTTTAGACCACTGCTTCCTGTTTTACACAGGTGACCAGTTGGTTTTTTGCTTTCTCTGGAGTGTCTTATTGCCTATGTTTTCTTGAATTCTCTACATTTATACCTCAAATTCTTCAGATGTCTCGGTCATTCTCTTCTTAGTTATGGCATCTCTGCTGGTACCATCTTTGAGCCCTCCATTCTCTGTGCTCATCAGGTCTGGATGCTTTGTGTTCATGCTACAGTGCACATTTGATCACTTCCTTTCATTACCATTCTGAATCAGAACCACTGTTTTCTAGGTGCTGTATTCAGTGGTGCACAGGTAACATTTAACAATAGATTCTCATAACAAACAAAACTCCAATTTTTAGCATTTCCCAATGTCCATGTTGTACATATTCCCATAATGGTTGATGTCAAGTTTCCGACTTGAAGTCACTGACCATGAATTTGGGAAGAGATGCACCCAGTCTGTACTCCCAGGCCTGCTCCACTGATGAGAACCATTTTGACAGAGATATTTCTAAAATAAATCCATCCTCTATGAGTTAACAAAGCAAACTGGATCTCATTTAACTTCATTTAGTGGCTCTGGGTCATTATTATTAATGTCAAGCTCTAAGGAGTAAGTGGTGTCTCTAGAGATTATGACATTTAGAGAGACGATATCTGCCTATAAACTAAATGACAAAATAACTTAACTTAGAAATTAGATCAAACAATACAGTAAAAAATGCAATGGTGTTCTGTTTATTTTGGAAGGGCTTTTGTTGTTAGTTGACATTTTAAAATACAACATAGTTGACCCTTGAACAACAGGAGGGTTAGGAACACCAACCCTTCCCCACCCACAGTTGAAAATCCAAATATAACTCTTGACTCTCCCAAAATTTAACTACCAATTGCCTACCGTTGACTGGAAGGCTTATAATAACAGAAACCATCAATTAACACATATTTTGTATGTTTTATGTATTATATATTGTATTCTTACAATAATGTAAGCTAGAGAAAAGAAAATGTTATTAAGAAAATCATAAGAGAACATACATTTACAGTGCCATCCTGTACTTACCGAAAAAAATCCTTATATAAGAACCTGTGCAGTTCAAACCCTTGTTGTTCTGGGTCAACTACTGAAACTTACTTTTCATGGTTTGAAGAGTTATTAAAACTGCCTCTCTTTTAATCCTCGATATGATCCCCTCCCTGTTTAGATTTTTTTCTGGCCTTTCATTTGTGCTCTTATCTTAAGTCATCATGAATCATTTTTAAGTAAGTTATCAGAGAATAAATTTAATAGATACAGTGTCTCCAAGAAAGCAAGCAGATTTTCTAATAAGTGGTGTTAATTCCGCTTCTCTTTCATTATGTGTGTTTTCTTTAATATCATAAAAGAGAATGCTATTCATGCATCTTCTGACAGAAAAGAAAATGGATTTTCCTCTGTTTGAGAAGTTCACTTTAAAGGTTTTTGTGATGCGCGACAGCTTTAAAATAGGGTTGCTTTTCAGAATAAATTGCCTGCAGCTGCTCTTCAAGCTTTCTTTTTTATCTGAGCACATCCATCCTGTTTGGACATAAAAAAAAAACTGCATATTTACATCGCTGATGGGCCAATAAATAAAATGCTGCATTTTTAGGGGAACGTTCCAGGGAACTAATTAGAGTCATGAACAGACAAACGGGATTGAAAACTGAAAATATGGTGCTGCTTCTTACCTTGCTCTGATTATTTTGCATTTTAGCCATGTCTGTGCATCCTCTCATTTGTGTGAGCAGGGGATGGTGACAGATCACTTGATGATCAGGAAATGCCCATGAAATGAATGTGGTTCTGGTGTGGTTCTCTTTAGGCGTTTGATCGTTTCTCTTCTCCTCCACAGCTTGCTGAAGGTGAATTTTAACCAAGGTAAATTCAGCTTTCTGGATGGAGGACATTTCTTTATGTCCAAGGAAATTAAAGCTATTCAGGCATACACCTGCCACATAACTAGAAAAATACCTAGGGTACCATTTTCATTTAAAATCTGCAGTTTCTAGTGCCGTCAACATAGCTAATCGTTGGATCATTTTATTAGAATTACTGTTTTATCAAAGCAAATCTAGAAAAATGCCTGAAGTGTGTAAAATTAGTGTCCAAAACAGCAGGTGGAACTATAAAATGTTTAGGTATAGAATACAATAAATATCATTTAAATATGATAATGACATTATTGGCATTCACTGGACTATATGAAATTTATCTGTTTCATCAATCATACACAATTATTTAAGTGTATATTTTAGTACACTGTATAATTGATTAAAATATAATTGTATATAATGCAAATATAATAAACTGTGGCAAGTCTACAATTGTAATGATCCCGTAATTTTTAATTCTCTATTCAAAATGGATTTTGCCTAATCTGGATGAATTTTCATGTAGGTATATGATCTCAATAAAATATGATCCAAAGGAATTACTTGACTTAGTTTTACATGGGATCGTTGAGCCCAGAGCTAAATAAATCAGTAAGCTTCATTTTGAAAAAGTGGTTAGTCATTATCATCAATGATGGACTAGTGAAAGCAGAGAAACCAAACATATTTGGTAATTTATGTTTCTTACAAGAAGGCAGGGGTGAGTAGGAGATTTGGGTTTTTGTTTTTGTTTTTTTTTTCCAAAATCATATACCAGTTCTAGCATTCAAGCCTGTAGTTAATTTTTTCTAGTGTGTTATACTAAACCAATCATTTTACTTAAAAAAATGATGAACTCAGGGGGGCGCCTGGGTGGCTCAGTCAGTTCAGCATCTGCCTTCAGGCTCAGATCATGATCCCAGGGTCCTGGGATCCAGTCACATCAGGCTCCCCGCTCAGTGAGAAGTCTGCTTGTCCCTCCCTCACCGCCCCATCCCCCTTCTTCTGTACGCTCTCTCTCAAATAAATAAATAAAATCTTTGTTTTTTTTTAATTTTTTTAAAAGATTTTATTTATTTTTTTGACAGAGACACAGCGAGAGAGGGAACGCATGCAGGGGGAGTGGGAGAGGGAGAGGCAGGCTTCCCGCAGAGCACGGAGCCCCGATGCTCGGCTCGATCCCAGGACCCTGGGACCATAACCTGAGCCAAAGGCAAACGCTTAACTACTAAACCACCCAGGCGACTCAATAAATAAAATCTTTAAAAAAAATTAAGAATTCAGGGTGTCTGGATGTCTCAGTCAGTTCAGTGGCTGTCTTTGGCTCAGGTCCTGATCTCAGAGTCCTAGGATCAAGCCCCATGTCAGGCTACCCCGTCAGCAGGGAGTCTGCTTCTCCCTCTGCCCCCCTCCGCCTTGTGCTCACTCTCTCTCAAATAAATAAATAAAATCTTTTAAAAAAAATGATGAACTCATATCATAGAATATGATACTCTAAAATATCTGCCAGGATTTTCTACTGAGAAAATGATTTAAGGAGTATATGTCAAGCTCTCCAGATGGGTTTAAAATCTCATTATACTTTATAACCTCAAAGTTGTCTTAGCATATTTTCAGAGAGAAGTTGCATAAAACAGTACATGAAATGGGTGTCACAACTTTAGTGATGATGATGTCCATAAGTGTGATTGAAATTGAATCTGGAGACTTCTCTAGGCATGAAATAAATATTAAAATGGTGTGATGATGCTAGGATTAGATGCTAATGGACTCTCTTTGCTTTATTTTAGCTCTCAGCATTGGAGAGGCAAATCTTTGACTTCCTTGGCTTCCAGTGGGCACCAATTCTTGGAAATTTTCTACATATAATAGTCGTCATATTGGGTTTGTTTGGAACCATTCAGTACAGACCTCGATATATTGTGGTGGTAAGTTTTATTTTTATCCTGTCTCTTGCTACAAAATTACTAAAAGAAGATTAATGAAATATCATTAAGTTGTTCCCTTGGATATGATGTGGTATTGCTGTTCGAACCTTTAGGTATTAAATTCTGTTTGGAGATGCTAATCTGTGGGAAAAATGACTCAGTGAATGTTTACAGTGAGATCAAAGCAACATGAGTGTAAGTGTGAGACACATAGTCCAACACACTGTGTAAATGAATTCAAGTTTCACAAGGAAATCTAAAACAGGGTTTGGATAGAGTAGGAGATCTGGCTGTGGTCTGGATGTCATGATGAGACATAAATGTGCATTAACTGTCATTTCCATGATACACGTCACTAAAAAGCAAACCTTCATAGCCATAACTGTTTACTAACTGATAACAATAATATAACTGCTAACATAATAATATTTACTTTTAAATGATTTAGGACATTACAAAGGCATGTACTGAAGGTTATTTAGCACTCATCCCTAATGTATTTCATACTTTATATCATTGAACATGTCTCCATTTTTTTAAGATAAATTTGAAATGTTAATTCCATACTCCAACTATACCAAACATGGTCAGGAGACGCTCTGTTGCAGGGCAGTTTAATGAAGTGTATACTATATTCCACAATTGAATGGGAATTATTCACAATAATTGGTGTTCTATAAAAGGCGGCAGTATTTTAGGCTACATGTGTAAGATTGTGAGAAATAAGCCTATATAAGTGATTGTAACTAGGAATAACATACCTAAAATACTCATTGAGCCTAAATAAATATACAGTGTTCAGTAGGATTAGTGAGTATTTTCTTGCAATGCAGGGACATTGGCTCACTAGAAGAAAACCATAGACTTAAACATATGCCCTCTTTCAAATTTGATTTAATCCAGGCACAACTATGGAACGAATAAAGCTACACATTTTCCTGTGAATACATTAATTCTCTATTTTGAATCTCAAATTGGTTTTTTATTGTATCTTTCCCCATATCACAGAGGTGAACATAATTGGCCCACAGCCGACTCTGAACTCAAAATGGCTGCCCGGGGCATTAGGGAAGTTTGATATCACTCAGCCAGCTGCAGGGACTAAACAATTTCTGCTTTACTTTTATTCTCTGAAAGCCAGCTTCTGCTAAGGCACTGTATAATCTGCTAGAAGGATGTCTCATGGAGTAGGACTTGTAGCATAAAACACTTCAATATGCATAATATCAAACTATTATATTGGATTCTGTTTTCTAGTTTGTTGCTATAAACACAGCACTTTGACTCACTGCAGACTTTTATTTTATGATGTTGGTGTTCTGCGGAAGCCCCAAATGCCAGGTGGCTGTGAAACCAGTCGCCTTTCTGGAATGAAGCTATTGGTACACATTAGTGACATTACCTAGTCCTGATAATCATGCCCTCTACATACTAGCTTTACACACTCTCACAGCTACTGCCTTGGTTGAAGCTTCTGCTTTTTCTTTCCAGGATATGGACTTCCTGCCTGCTTTCAGCCTTCCTACCTTTCAGTGTGTCCTTTGCATTTTCCTAAATCACTGGCTTAAAACTCTTGGCTAGCTCTTAGCCAGATAAAATCTAAGAATATCCTTGGCTGACCACCTGACCAAGCATGGATCTCACAATCAGTCTGTCCTCTCTCCTTCCCTTCTTTCCTTCTCCCCTTTTCTGCTCCCTTCCTACCCTCCCTTCTTTTTTTTTTTTAATTTTATTTATTTAAGTAATCTCTACACCCTATGTGGGGCTCAAACTCACGACCCTGAGATCAAGTCACACACTCTTCTGACTGAGCCAGCCAAGTGCCCCTACTTTCTTAACTTTCTTCCTCCTTTTCTTCATTAACTTATTCATTCAAATCCTATTTATTAGATTTCTACCATTAGGTTTCTACCTTGTTTTAAGTGTGGGCATGTTGGTGATCAAATACAGACCAGGGGTCTGTGGAAGTGATGAAAGGTGATGAAAGGAGTGTTTTCCGCATGTAGTTCCTTATCTGTTCAGAGTCCATTCATGATAGAACTGGTGTCATTTCTTTCTCTGGTGTCTTTTCTTTGATTCCCTCTCCCCCTTTTCCCTTTTGTGCATAGGAGAAGGAGGATTTAGATCTTTAAGAATCTTCAAGAAAAATCTATTAGAAAAACAATCCATGTTTTTGCTCATGTGGATTTTCTCTTTTAATGCAGGTGGCAATCAAATTTCTACCTTTTTTGTTTGTTGGTTTGCCATCTTATTTAAGACCATATCCCAGGACGGGAAGAGAAAGAAAGCAATGAATTGATGGGAAAGGCCTCCATACTAAAGATGCTGTTGGGTTTAATTTTCACAAATACCTATGGGTATGTGTTAGCATCCCTAATTTTACAGACAAGGAGAGGTTAAGTGACCTACCCCAGGAACCCACATGTTTAAATGGCAGAACTGGATGTGTTATTGTTAGGTTCTTGAAGTTGATTTATCATTATTATCCTTTGTTTCACCACCAGATTCCAGATTATATGGTGGCATTGCTGGTATAAATTTTGATATTGAAAATAATCCTGCCCTGCCACCTCAGCTGATCACAGAATATTGTTACCTGTGTGGGATTCCAGATTACCTCTTGTTCTAACATGGGTATAAATTGTCCACCGGGGAGAAATGGTTGAAGAGTCCTTAATCCACAAGCATGCGAAATCTGTTCACAAAGACTGCCTTTGATGGGAAGATCACGTTGTTATTGGAAGGATGGCTAGGCCATGTTACCTTCTTCACACCACGGGCAGTTCATCCCTGAGTTGTTTCCATGAATCCTTTGGTTTGGATCTACCACTGGTGGCCTGGGATTAATTCTAGTATGAAAAAGTCAGAAAACAAATATGGCGTATGTCAGGTTAGTCAAGGTGTGCCTCAGGAGGCACCAACTTTTCAGTGGCAATGAAAGGAGTCCTGGATCAGAAATTCATACTGACTTTTCACTGAGCAGGGAAAGAGATTTTGATTGCAGGAGATTTTTTCTCCAACTCACCTGCAGTATTCTTAGTATTAGCCTCCTTTGTTGGCTGAAACAATCACCCATAATGCCGGTTAAATTTAATCCATTTCAAAGTAACAGACATTTTGGAGCACTGAAACACAGAGTGTAAGTTACTGCCATTTCTGACAACAAACAGGGTTTATCACAGCTGAATTTAAAGAATTAAATTCATAAACCCTTATGAAAATGGTTATGGTAAAGGACCACGCAGAACAAGCTCTACAGTGTCTATCGGCACACTTCTGGCTTCCTGGCATGGAAAATCAAAGCTCATAAAATTGCTCCTTTGCTTACCTCTTCTGCCCACCGCGCTCCCCTATCTCGTACCAGCCATGCTCAACTATTGTGTTTTCTAATGACCACATGCTGTTTCTTGCCTCCTCTGTTTGCACACACTGTACTTTCTGCCTGGAATGCCCTATTCTCCTTGCCCTCTTGGAAAACTCTTAATAATGCTTCCACTGAATGGTCATGTCTTAAGAGCTTTGCCTGAGCATCCTCCTCCTTTCTGCTCCCATGGATCTTGGTGACACCTTCCACCCTAGCGCTCTGCACAGCGACAGCCCTTGCTTCTAGCCTGTCTCGTTCCATTCACCCGTGTCCTGCTGGCAGGCTCATTGCCCCTACCCATCGTTGTATTCTAGGTCTCTCCCGGTATGCATGGGGCTTTAAAGATACTTACACTCGAATGAGCAAAGAATAAATGAATTAAAGTATACTGGATGAAATTATTTTATAGGATGGACTGGACAGTGGATACTAAGGTCAGCTGTAGGTTTGAATGCACCTTTTTGTGTTTCTTTGACTATAGACAAAATGAAGCAGAAAGCATAAAGTACTGTTCTAGAATCTGCTGTTTCCTCCTGTTTATTCCTATATCAAATATTTTAAATCTTACATAGAAATTCCAAAATGAGATTCTGCCCTAGAATTGTTTAAATCTTTATTATTTCATGGGCAGTAATTTAATTAGGCAGTTTTAAGTTAATTTAAATGCAAAAGCATTAGCTAATTTAAATTTTTTGAATAAATACCAACTTTGGAAATTAACTCAAAACTGCTTTTAAAAATAAAAAAGAAAGCCAAGTTAATTTGCTAGGTCCACAGTTTAGTTATTGGGACTTTTATGGCGAAGCTCATGTGCAAACAATAAGAACTTGTGTAAATTTGAATAGTTAACAGGAAAATTTCCCTGCTATGTCACTATAAACCTCCTTCCTGAGCTTTTACTCAGCATGACAGTTAAGAGTGTCCATTTTCCATTTAATTGGTCCTATATTAAATCCTCTCCACCAATTATTGGGTATGAAGACTTGGGACATTAATTTGTCCCATAGTTAACTTCATATGTAAAAACCTGACTCAGATTGTCTTTAAGAATTATATTATATAATATATGTGACTTGCTTAACATAATCTAACACAGAGCAAGTGCTTGGTAAATGATTGAACTGTTCAATATATCTTTTTTTGCTTTCACTCTGCTTTTTTAGCCATTAAAATGAAGGGGATGCCACATTACTCTCTTAAAGTTCTTCTGGAAATGAATACTAAACTCCAGAAACTGTTGGAACAAAGAGTGACCAGGAAATCTACTTTTTTAAAATTATAAGTCTAACATATTGTACATAATACTATATCTGATTGATGCACATGTGAATAAATGAATAAATGGCCTTTCTGGTAATTGGAAAACAAGGTCAGGAAGTAAAAATAATTCATGTTATAGACTAATTGCTCAATGAGAAAGAAATAGACTGCAAGACTTCCGAAATTCATTTCAATTAAAAAACACTGAAATATCTTTGTAAAACCATGAAATATTCAGGAAGCTACTTAGAACACATGGACTTTTTTTTTCATCTTATAGGCTTTATCTATGTAAATTGGGATTTAAAATATGTGTACTGAACATAAGCAAAGTACAACAAATAAAAAGGTAGCTAGATAATTACAAAGAGTAATTTTTGCATATATTGGGAAGTTGTTTTCCATACTGCAAGTATATGTATTTGGATATATGAGCATATAGGCATGCTCCATGATAACCAAAAGGTATGTCTTAAAAATGGAGTCATCTCTTTTTTAATTCTTGTTTCGGTTGAATTATAAATAAAATAACCCATGTCAAAAAGAATGCATATATTGGGGCACCTGGGTGGCTCGGTATGTTGAATGTCCGACTCTTGGTTTCAGCTCAGGTCATGATCTCATGGGTCATGGGGTAGAGCCACATGTCTGGCTCTGTCCTCAGCAGGGTGTCTACTTGAAGATTCTCTCCCTCTGCCCCTTCCCCCACTTGTGCATGCGCACATGCACGCTCTCTCTCAAATAAAACGTAAATTTTAAGAAAAAGAATACATATGTTGTCCTAACACTTCCTGCGTAGGTAAATGCCAATGGATGTGTTTGTATATCTAGAGGTTTCTTTCCCTATATCTCTATGTACAGCCTTGTGTCCCCATTGCAGGGTGAGGTATATAGTTTTCATCTCATAACAGTCCAAAATTCAGTCATACAAATAATCTTTGTTCTCAACAAACCAATGTATCAGAAGAAAGAAGTTTACAGTATTGTTTTTAAAAAACCATAACATTCATATCATGCATAATGCATTAGTTGCCAAGTACAAAAGAAATTGTTATTCAAATACATTGCCAGTTGTGGAATTATATAAATGAAACTAGTTTTTGGAAAACTGGTAATTTGGTGAATTGGTCATTTGATAAGTTGCAAAATTTGGTGAAGTATTAACTTTTAAATTATTCCATGGTCCTTTGCCTAAGATCTTTGAAAATGAAGCCTATCATGTAATACTTAAGCATCAGCTCTGGAGTCAGACTGTTAGAGTTCCTCTCCCAGCTATGACACTAAGTAGGTGGTCAAATGATTACTCTCTTGCTCGGTTTAGTGTGAAGGCTGAATAACTTGATACATATCAAGTACTTAGCACAGTACCAGGAACATAGAAAGTGCTTAACACAGTACCAGGAACAGAGAAAACAGCAGAGTAATAACTCATGTTATTGTTAGGAATTTAGGAACCTACTCAGCCTGATAATTTTATCTTTGAAAGTTTACAAGTGGCATGAATCACTTCAATCATTGAGTCTGTGCTGTGATTTTTAAATAGAGTTGTTTTATTATGCATTTGTTGTAACTATGAGTTGATAGTCTTTTCTAAAAGAGTACTTAAGTATTTAAGTTTGCTGTCCTAATAATTAAGAATCAAATAGTTTTACAATGACTTTTGCTTATTTCCTTATGTTAGTCTTACTTTCTTTTATGCCCTTTCCTTAACCTTTGTCATTGGCTTTTTTTCTCATGAATTCGTGGTCTGCACTATTCTCTCATTCTAATAGACTCATAATTAGATTAATTTAGAATGAAAAATGTCAGACACCAATTAGCAACAGCTTTAAAATTTGTTGTGGTTGTTGTGGCTTGATCAGTTTGCAAAAAGTATACATTGAAGATAAAAGTTAGCTATTTTCATTGTTCATGGGAATATTTTGTGGTTTAAAAAAGTGTATTTCAAGGCAGTTGGCACATTTTTAAAACTAACTCCATTCATACCAGAAGGCTTTACTAACAGAAAATATTGGCAGCATCAACAATATCTACAAATAGCAAAAGCCTCACTGTATACTTTAATTTGTGTTGATGTTTGAACGTATTTGCCAGCTTCTCTAAATTTCCAGTGATTTTGGAGACTTAACTCATAATTATAATTGCATTATTCTTAATAACATAACAAAAGCAAAACCCCCTCTCCAGAAAGAAAACAAGATGTATAATGTGACATCAGTGTAACCAGTTATAGAACTTGGCACCTACATGAGATTATTTTGAAAGCCTTTTAAAAATCATAACTGAGAGAAAGACACAAAATGTAAATTAAATTTTATGAATAGTTAAAAGCTCCTGATAAGGTTTCCAACAGGAACATGGCTATTTTACAGTGTTTAAAATTCCTAATTTTATTATTTGAGACAGCTAATGAAATGATTTCAATAATTATTTTAATTTGACAATAGCATGTGATGATTAAAATCACTGATAAAAGCAGTGATTTAATTAGTATGTCTATTTAAGAAATTAAGAATTTATAGATTTTTGTGGTAAAGTAAAATGAATGAGAAAACCATTGTGTTACATTCCCAGAGTAAATTCCATCCTCAGTCATCCAAGCTATTACATATGTCAGTTCTATATCTCAGTTTCTTCATCAGTGACTAGGTGAATTGTGCCCTAAGACCCTCTCCACCGATGAGTTTTGATCTAAGGCTACCTTAATTCAGACTGACCAATACTCTCAAGGAAGGCATTTCCTAATACATATTACATTAATAAAACCAATTAATCAGTAAGGCGAGCATGTTTAGAGTCTGTTGGACGTGATTGGAAGGTATTTTCCCATTGTGGAAATCTGTCGTTTATTTGCTCATTCTTAATCCCATTTCTTAATTGTTGTGCTTTTTAAAAATATATTTTATATGATTGCATTGACGGCATACACACTCCACTCATACTAAAATAGTTCAATAGGAAAGCTTGTTAATTTTACTACAAACATCCATTTTCAAACACGATCTTCACTCAGGGATATGGAAGTGCTGAGTTTTGACTAACATTCCTAAAAATTTGACAGCTTATAATATTAACTAAAAGATAGATAACCCACAGAAAATTTGCATAATTGTATTCCCTGGAAAAACTAATACTCAGAAAACAGAAATCAAGTCAGCACTTGGATTTAACTTTATCTGCAAGCCAGCAAAACACTTTAAAAATAAATCTAGCTTTATTGGCATCTACTGAAAGCCGAAGAAACTATTGGATTTTTAATTTCTGGATCTTAGGGGACCTCATAAGGAGCACTCTTTTCTGAGCGCACCCTACTTCTTCCCAGAAGACTTAGACTTATTGACATTTTTATTATTGATTTATTTAGTATACATGCCTTTCATCTCTACATTTTTTCTTCTCTTTCTCCCCCTTGATCCCTTTCTCTCTAGTACACAGTATGGACTGCCCTCTGGGTCACCTGGAATGTGTTCATTATCTGCTTTTATTTGGAAGTAGGTGGACTCTCTAAGGTAAGTTTATAATGCTTTTAAATAAGTACGCTTTAAAAAGAGTACACTAATAAATAATTATTATGACTGTATGTGTGTGTATATATAGAGAGAGTGTGTGTGTATTATATATATATATATATATAAAGAGAGATTGTGTGTGTATGTATATATAGAGAGAGGGGGGTAATCTAAATAACATTATAAATGTAATACTAATCAAAAATAAGTTTGGATACTGATCAGGAAAGAATGATCTTGGGAGCTTTATGGTTTAACTATGGCTTTATGGTTTGGTTTGTTAAGCTGTACTGAAACTCAGCTGCCAGTGTATCCTCATGTCCAGTTTAAAAAGGCCTAATGTCACAGTGACAACAGCCCCAAATGTTAAGTGAAAAATGGTTTTGAGTGTTCTCGTAATTTAAAGTGGGAATGGGGATTGACGGAAATGTTAATGTAATAAATATGAATAGCAAGTTGCTGTCTTTGCTTCAGTATTAATTCTGAAAAAATAAAAGTTTGACAAAGGATGAAAGCCTTATATGTGTAAGTGGAGGATATATTCACTAACTAAGTGCATCTTGAAATTCTGCTCAGACAGAAGAGAGTTGTCTTGATGCAACATGTTACCAGCCTCATTTCTGTCTGTCTACAACTAGTGTCAGCAAAGCACACAATTTTCACTGTGACTCCTGCAGAACCAGCTTTTGACTGCCATCCCAATGTAAGAGCATCTTGGGTAAAGTTTCTAGCTGTGTTTCTCATACATTTTTCTCATAAGCCAGCACAATTTTTACTTGTAGAAATCATAGAGAAGAAATGTAACAGTGTAAGTACTAAGAAAGCTGTAGTGTTGTTGTTGTGTTTTGTTTTTTCTTTTTTCAGATTTCTCATTATTCACTCTATGTGTGCTAACTTATTCTATTGTATGATCGTCTGAAAACTTCTAAGTAACATAATGGCCTTCTACTAGCATTTGCGGGTTTAGATCTTAGAAAATTTGCATTGACTAGCACAGACTCAGAATTGTTAGGCTCCATTGAAATGCATAGGGTAACAAAGAATTTTTGATTCAGCTAAGCAGCAAAAATCCCTGAAGGATTTTCTCCGGAACCTCCAGAGGTGGTTACTCTTTATTCTACACTATAATAACCTTATAATTAGAACTTGTATTCATCTTCTCACATTGGCAAATGTGTTCAGGAGCCAAAAATGACATTTTTAATACTGACTTTTATACAAATGCACAAGCACCTACCCTTAATATTTGTGCCATTAATCACATTTAACCTCTAATTTTTAAGACAGAAAAGAGTGCTTAAATCAGTGCCTAGTTATCTTCTGTAACACGCAGATTATAAAGTAATTTTAAAATGCAAATTTTATGAATATAATAATTGTGAATAATAAGCATAGCATTTTTCAAACCATGGCATTTTGTATCTTGTAATTTGAACAAATGACCATTTGTTTTAAAGATTTTATTTATTTTATTTGAGAGAGAGAATGAGAGAGAGAGAGCACATGAGAGGGGGAAGGGTCAGAGGGAGAAGCAGACTCCCTGCTGAGCAGGGAGCCCAATGCGGGACTCGATCCTGGAACTCCAGGATCATGACCTGAGCCAAAGGCAGTCGCTTAACCAACAGAGCCACCCAGGCACCCTTGAATGGTCATTTTAAATCATCACTGTACTGGGTAGTAATTCTCTTCTATTTTCTTCCATATAAACCAATTTTTTGGGAAAAAAAATGAGACCAGAAGAAATTTGTCCTATGGAATTGGTATTATGATATGCTAAAAGAAAACTGAATTTCAAATCCCAAGTCTTTCACTCAAATCTTGTCTTTAGCACTTATTAACTATGGGCCCTTAGGCAAATCACTTAACCATGCTAAGTCTCTGTGAAATATAAAAATGGGACCAGTTTGCCAACAAATGGTAGTAGTAATCAACACTTTTTGGGTATGAAGCATTGTTTTAAACACATCATTTATGGTAACTCAGGTAAGCTTCAAAACAATGTTATGAAGTGATAAGAAGATAATAATAGTAATCTTTTTTTCCGTATTAGTCTGTTTTCCCTCTGCCGCTCAAGGTAACTTTTGTGCACTGCTTTTTGTAACTGCTTTTCTAATATCAATATGCTTGTTAAGGGTTTTTTCTTTCTCATTTCTTTGGGTGCAAGGTTAAAAATGATGGCTATACTAGTCCAAGTCACTCATTTTATTACGCATTCAAATGCCATTAGGCAATCAACCAAGTATTCTAGTTCGTTAAAAGGATAGGTGACGCCAAAGTGAGCATCTTAAAGATTTTCTGTTGTTCTCCTTCTATTAACTGCCTCAAAGGCTGGTAGCATTTCCCTGGTTAGCCACAGTGTAGCCTCAGTTGGAATCTGTAGGAAATCTATTCTGAAAACTCGAGCCGAGTTAAGGACGCTTGACAAACCCAAGCACCTTTGCGACACTTCAAGGGTGGACTCTAGTTTTTATAAGAAATTCCTTGTCCATATATGCTGGTATATACTTCCTAGAGCTTTCTATTTCTTGCTAGTTCGTGAAGGCATTCCTTGGCATTACCCACTTGGATAAATTAATAGAAGTCTCCTTTGGCCTGGATGTTTGCCTAAAATATCCATTCTAAAATAACAGATCTTTCCCCCCAAACTGGATTCAGATTAATTTCCACAATATCTCTATTCGGTGTTGTTCCAGTGACAGTAACCACATAATCATTCTTATTAACTATTAGTGCACATTATTGTGGGCATGAACAATTCTACATTTGGCCTCTTATGGGGATTCTTGATCCCAACACCCAGATATTCCTTTCCTTTTTACCTCATCTGCCAATCAGCTCTGCATCATGTGTTTGTCACTGGTCTTGAGGGTCCTGATTCTCCTCAGATCTTCCAGAACTTAAAGGGAATGGCTGTATTGTTTTTAAGGAAGGTGTACATGTATGGTGGGGTCAGGGGTGATTACGGGTCTGCATTTACATAATCTCCTGGAGCCTCAGCTTCCTTTTGAGGAAAACTGCAGCACTAATTTTGCTGGATTGTTGAAAGAATTAAATAAGATAATGCATATAAAGGACTTAGAAAGGATCTTGGCAGAGTGAGGTTTCAGTAAATAGTGGTTCTCATAATTGCCATCAACATCATCATCTTTATTATTATTGAAGAAATTAACAGACATCATGATTCTCATCCTGAAGTCTTTGGGACATATATTTATTACTATGCAAGAGCTGTAAGGGGAAAAAATATAAGACTGAGTGACTTGTTTAAAAAATATGTAACAGTCCCTTGTAATAGGACCTCAGAACTGCATATTAACTTCACAGCTGTAACACTATTAATTAAATCCTTTCCTTCAACATGTAAGTGGCTTTTTTTGAAATACTTCTGCAGCTGGATTCTCCTGGTGTCCCTACTGTTCCCCCTAGGAGAACTTTATGCATCTTTGGAAGTCTCTGAGGCTGCTTTTCTGCCACAGTTTAAGATCACCCAGGGCACAATTAGTAAGTTATTGCTGCTTCTTTGCAGGTTGCAAGACTTGAAATCATTTTTTTCCTCCCTAGGAATACATTCAGAATGTAAATATGAAAATTCAACTCATTTACCACATTTAAAGAGAGTGTAAAATAAGTTATGTTGAGAACTTAAGTTGTACTTTCTTTTTAATTCCAAAGGAATTTAAGCTAATATCTTATGCCATGCTCCTGCTTACTCTAGTGTGCAAACTTTCAGCTAATATTTCTTCTAATCACCTTTTCTCGAAAGGTGTGTGGAGCTTACACATTGTGATCTTAGCGAATTTTGAGTGTGGCCCATTTTCATAGAATATAGAATGTGCATGACTGTGCATGAGCATAATTTAGACAGAAAAATAAATATAAACAAGTTCTATGAAGATTTTATTAATCGTCTGCTTTGATCAGGGAGCTTTCAAAAACTTATAAACAAGGGGTGGGGGGGAGAGAGACTAACCCTCACTGATTTCTACTCTGTATAGGTGATTTACATTGCCTTCACACAAAAGGAAACCTACCTTCATTTTTTTCCCTCTATATCATGTTTTAACAACTGGACTTTTTCCATTGTGACCTAATTTATAGATATTTTGATTCTTTTTTTTTTAAAGATTTATTTATTTATTTTGAGAGAGTGAGAATGAGAGAGAGGGAGAAGAGAGAGAAAGAGAGAGAATACATGGGAGCGGGGAGGGTCAGAGGGAGAAGCAGGCCCCTCGCCGAGCAGGGAGCCCGATGCGGGACTCGATCCCGGGACTCCAGGATCATGACCTGAGCCGAAGGCAGTTGCTTAACCAACTGAGCCACCCAGGTGCCCCTAGATATTTTGATTCTTAAGGAAATTTAAGCCATTTCCCCCAATGACAATAATAGCACTCTCTCTGGTTTTTTGTTTTTACTTAAATTGTCACCTTTTCATACATAAGGGTCTTTTTCTCTTGTGAGATTCTTCAGTTGAGTATTTCACCTGAGCAGTCAGGCAAGATCAATGAGATAATTCTTCTTTTCAAGGCTCATTCTTATTACCTAGCCTGAATTGTTCTTTTGTACTTACTGAAAAAATTATCTTTCTTACTCAAGATTCATTTTCCTTCAAGGTTGGATTCTTCCACTAACTGTGGCTTTGGGCAGGCACTTTCAAGTAGAAAACTTTTAGAGTCAATTCAGAGTTATGTACAGGAGCAATTGCTTAGGAAACAGAACTTCAGTTTCCTTCGGCTGTTTACAATCCACCCATTATTTCTTATAAACAGTCTAAATATTTTTGTCCCAAAGAATTCTTTTTCGGATGACCGTTTCAAACTAAATCAATGATGTATAGTGTATTTCTTTTTTATTGAAATAAATGCAACTTACTGAATCTAGCAATGAATATTAAACCTATGTTTATCTTTTCCTTTTCATGATCTCTTCCTACCTGGACATTTTTCAAAAGGAATCTTGAAATACGATGTTTACAGAAGGGTGAAGCTAGGGCACAAAATATC